AGTGTCTTATGCTGAGTGGGAAAAAAAAAATCTCAAAAGGCCTATATGTAGGATTCCATTTACATAATATTCTAGAAATGACAAAGCATAAAGATGGAAAACAGATTAATGACCAAGGGCTAGGAATGGTAAGAGGAATGGGGGTGGGGGTGGGTATAAATGGGTAGCACAAGGGCATCTTTGTAGTGATGGAAGAGTTCTGTATCTTGATTGTAGTGGTTATATGAATCGATATGTGGTAACACATGGCCTAGAATTATATGCACACACATTGTACCAATGTCAAACTTTTGACACTGTACTAAGGCTATGAAAGACATAATCATTAGAAAAAAACTCAGTGAAGGGTGCATATGATCTTTTTGCAACCTCCTATAAATCTATAATTATTTTTAAAAAGTATATATAAACTGTACATACAAATGTATATACATCTAAAGCATAGAAAAGACTTGCAAGGATAGGCATTAAATTATGTGTTAAGGATATATCTGTATTACTTGAAATTTTTTTAAAAAAATGCCTTCATTAATTTCTTATATCAAAAAGAAAAAGAATGCAAAATCATTGTAAAAAATCCAAATATAGAAAAACATAAACAAGATGAAAAGCACTTGCTCTATGATGCCATCCAGAGATAATTTCAATTAACTCACTTAACAAATACTGAGTGTATCCTATGGTGCCATGAACTGTTAGCATTTTGGTGTATATTTCAGAACTTTCCTATGCATCCAAAGCCACATACAAATTATAATCATTCATGGATATGTATTATTATATGCATAATATATAACAAGCTCTCATTACTTGACGTTCTATTCATTAATATTCATCCATTCAGCAAATATTTGATTACCTGCTTTAGCCAACGTCATGCTAGACTCTGAGGATATAATGGTGAATTAATCAGACATGGTCTGGTTCCTCACAAAGCTTACAGTACAGTGAGAGACTGTCACTAAAAAAATTTTCTGAAATAAATACACAATTACAGATTGTGTCAAGTTTAGGTAAACTTGGTAAACTTTAGGTAAAAGGTAAACTATGTTTTTGAAACGCCCAACTATGAAAGGAAAGGTATCTTGATGGCAAGATACCATGGCATGCTTATCATTGATGGAAATTAACCAGTAGAGAGAAAGATTAAAAATACAGTTGCCAGAAAGGATACTAGATTTAAAGAAGGCTGACAAGGAAGGAGCCAGAGCACAAGTATAAGGGTTGGCTTCAGGTAGAAGGAAATTGCCATATAAAAACAAGCAAAATAAGCAAAGACAGGTGCAGATGTAACTTAGTTCATAGATTCAGAGGTCTGAAGTTAATTCCTCTTTGAGATCTTATATTTTCTTTTTTTTTCTTTGAGGGGGGAGGGGCAGAGAGAACCTCAAGCAGATGCCCAGCTGAGAGCGGAGTCTGACATGGGGCTCAATGACCTGAGATCATGACCTGAACCGGAATCAAGACTCAGACACTTAACTGACTGAGCCACTCAGGCGCCCAGAGACCTTCCATTTTCTTATCAAAAATATAAGACAATGTCATCCACCAAGAACAAGGATGTAAATTGGAAGATCTGAGGTTTAAAGAGAGTTGTGGTTTTAAGTTGTCATTTGGGAAAGCAAGCTAAATAGAGAAAGACAGTAAACTTGCCAGCCTGAATTAAGGGCCTGTAGGGTGTGCCCTATGGGGCATATTCTAATCATTTTCAGCACCCTGACTGCCATGAGGGAAAAGGCAAGGGAATAGGTATTAGGAGAAACAAAGTGCTATAGTATCTAAATAAGAAAGAAAGAGAAAGAAAGAAAGAAAGAAAGAAAGAAAGAAAGAAAGAAAGAAAGAAAGAAAGAAAGAAAGAAAAGAAAGAGAGAGAGAGAGAGAGAGAGAGAAAGAAAGAAAGAAAGAAAGAAAGAAAGAAAGAAAAAAAAGAGAGAGCGAGAAAAGAGGGAAGGAGGAAGGATAGTTTTTCAATTGGGAGGAGAGAGAAAATGGCCTGAGAGAAAAGGGGAAGGAAGTAAACAGGTCAGGGGAATGTGGGGATAAAAGCAAGGTGGTGGTGGATTTCTGGCTGGGGTGCAGGAAAGTCCTTTAGCCTTCTAATCCAAATATGATCACAATGATGTCAGCAGCTTATCATCTGATTTTATGAAATTGGTTCCGTATTTATTTTAGTCTCTTAGACCTAACAACCTATCAAAACCCTAGGGAAGAATTCCCAGGCATCTTTAGTTGCTGCAAAGAATTATGAGTGAGGCACAAATATATTACTCTCCACACATTAGAAGGGAAGATCTAGTGAGCAATAGGAAGGAGAAATTTAATTATTTAATTATTCTCTTCCTAATGACACTTTGTGAGTTGCTCTGAGAACTTTTTTAATGTCCATTTTGTATTTATTCCTAGTTCCCAGGAGTCCAGCTCCTTTCTTCTTCTTTTTTTTTTTAATTCAATTAGCCAACATATAGTACATCACTAGTTTCAGATGTAGAGTTCAATAATTCGTCAGTTGCCTATAACACCCAGTGCTCATCACATCACATGCCATCCTCAATGCCCATCACCCAACTACTCCATCCCCCTACCCACCTCCCCTCCAGCAACCCTCAGTTTGTTTCCTATAGTTAAAAGTCTCTCATGGTTTGTCTCCCTCTCTGATGACTTCCCATTCAGTTTTCCCTTTTTCCCCCTATGATCCGCTGTGTTGTTTCTTATATTCCACACGAGTGAGACCATACAATTGTCTTTCTCTGATTGACTTATTTCATTCAGCATAATACCCTCCAGTCCCATCCACATCAATGCAATTTTAAGTATTCATCCTTTCTGATGGCTGAGTAATATTCTATTGTATATATATACCACATCTTTTTTATCCACTCATCTGTCGATACATCTGGGCTCTGGACATTGCTGCTATAAACATTGGGGTTTACGTGCCCCTTCAGATCATTACATTTGTATCTTTGGGGTAAATATCTAGTAGTGCAATTGCTGGGTGGTAGGGTAGCTCTATTTTTAACTTCCTGAGGAAACTCCATACTGTTTTCCACAGTGGCTACACCAGCTTGCATTCCCACCAAGAGAGTAAGAGGGTTCCTCTTTCTCCGCATCCACACCAACATTTCTTGTTTCCTGACTTCTTAAATTTCCAGCTCCTTAATTCTTAAGATATTTTTTTATTTCACGAATGTTTAGCTAAATAGAAATGGACTTGGAAGAACTGAGATATGGGCAAATCTTCTGTTAAATGCACTATTTGTCCAAAATACTCTGCTACCATTATTCTCTAAGAAATACCACTGTTCAACGCTTGCAATTATTAAATTATCTATGCTTGAGTAACACCAAACTTATCAGATTCTTCATACAATGGTTATTTTATCAAGAATTTCTTTATGCATCCTTTTGCTTAGATTTAAAATTTAAAATGTCTTAGTTGACATTTATGATTAACAAAAACAAGCTTCTCAAGAAACAGTAAAAAATATAAAGTGGCCAAGCAGCTGGTTAGCACATGAACAAGGAACAGACTGGGTTGAAAGAAAATTTAATTCATTCTGGAGTTCAGTCCCTTGTTTTTTGACCATCTCTTCGGCTGAACTGCTACCATGTGATTTTTGTACAAATTCTTTTAATTTGGGGTTTTCTTTCCCCCTCCTTTTTGAGAGCAAGAGCAAGAGAGAGAGCGGGCGTGCGCGCGCGCGCGTGTGTGTGTGTGTGTGTGCGTGTAGCACATGGGAGTCAGGGTGGAGGGGTAGAGAATCTTAAGCAGGCTCCAAGCCCAGCATAGGGCGGAGGGGGAGCTCTATCTCAGCACCCTGAGATCTTGACCTAAGCTGAAATCAAGAGTGGGATGCCTAACCAACTGAACCACCCAGGCGCATCCCCCACCCCTTTTTTAAGGAAAAAGGGTGTACTTTTTTTTCTCACTGAAAATGTTTCATTTTTAAAAACGAGCAGCTTTTCATTCATTACTAATGAAATAAAAATTGCCAAAAGATACAGGTAAGGAGAACATAAAATAGTGTTTGTCTTAACTAAGAAACTGTTAAGACACAAAACTTGGCTCTTTGCTTCCCTTCCATCACAGCCAAAAGGGAAACATGAACCAGTTATATCACTGTCAAGTAGAAGGAAAAATATACGTAATTCAAAGACTTGTGCATATCTGAGGCCAATATTACGTTCACATTTTCCCTTTTCAAAATCTAAGTTTTATTTGGCGCCACATAGAACAATCTAGCGGCAATGATTTTTTTCTTCTTCTGCCTAAAAGCAAAGTGATGCACACTGAAAACTCGCTGTATGAATCAGACAGAGACTGCACCGAATTTCCACTAAAGTCTACAATTCTTTTGTCGGGGTTTGTAACTGGCTTTCCTCGCATTCAGAGGGGAGGTGGGGATGGGCAGGTGGAGATAAAATTCGGTACAATACTTTAGCGATCTCGATGGCAGCTCTCGAATTGAGATTTGCTTCTTTGGTTTTTTGAGTGACTTAGGCTTGCCCCTTCCCTTTCCTGCAGGTCCTCAGTTTACCCTTGCATTGAATAAAATGGGTAGAAAAGTCTAAGCTCCTAAAATTACTAGTGTTGGAAGCCCCTGGTGCGGGGGGGCGGGGGGGGTCCAAGTCTTCAGTCTTAAAGGTCACCTTTCAGCTCTCATCCGGAACATGACAAAGCCACGAGAATCCTAGTCTCGAGCCCTACGAAGGTCTCAGCACACCTGGAAAGCCAGGGTAACGCCACCGACCCGCCTCCTTCCGCGAAACAATACCACAGACGTCATTCGCCTGAAGCACCACCCCCACCAGCTCAGCACCCACTGGCGGGCGCATGCGCAAGACAGGAGCGGGCCGGCAGCCGTCCAGGGACCCTAGGTATCTGCACAGTGGTTAAAGTCTCGGAAAGGCCTGGCTCCCTCGCCGGGTGAGGAGATCCCTGGCAGCGGCTATCTAGGATTACCCCCCACCAAAGACCAACGCGAGAAGGTGCCGTGCGGTCTCCAGAGCGTTTCCGTTTCAAACCTGAACTTCCGGTTCGCTAGCCGGTTCCGGTCCCCGTTCTCCACTTCCGGTCGCCCTCGGTTCCGCTGCGGCCGGTTCCTGCGTCCGCTGCTGCCGGTTCCGCCGCGCTCCAGGTGAGGGGACGCAGGGTACCCCGGGGCGCTGCCCACGGAGAGGCCGTTGGGGCCGGGGACGCAGCGCAGCACTGGTGTTCGCGCGACGCGGCTTCCACTGCGGCCGGCCGCGGCGGGCTGGAGGCTGCTTGGAGGAACCCTGGGCCGCGTCTGCCCCAATCCGCGGCCCAGGCCTCCGGCCCCGGCCAGCTAGTCGCAGGGGCCACCGCCCGCCCATCCGGCCTTCTCGCTTCTGTCGTGGGCTTCCCGAACCCCAGTGGGTTTTGCGTCCCCTAACTCCGTTCCTCCCTCCTCCTCAGCCTCCCTCTTGAAGGCATCCGGCCTCTCGGGTTTTTGAGTCTCTCCTATGCTTGTATGCTGTCCCAGACCATGCACTTCCCGTAGCTGTCGTCCCCGCACTACCTCGCAGTTGCTGCTGCTGTGCTGTAGGCTTGTTGAAAAGTTCACCTCCCAATTCCCAAGATGTTAACTTTTGCTGCCGTTAGTTTCAAGTTTTCGCCTTTGCAACATTTTAGTCGTGTGGTCTTGGACAAGTTGTTTTCTTTTTTCAGTTTTCTAATGTGTATAATGAAGACAATAGTCGTTAGTTCAGGATTGCGAAAATCAAGTGAGACAAGTTGTTTAGCATGTTGTCATTTTTCTGTCATCGCCACCATTCGTCTTGCTCTCTAGAGTTTACTAAGTGCTGTCACAGGTGTTATCTCACGCGTTAACACTGTTCTTGTTAAGTAAATATTAATAGTCTCATTTTGAGGTAGGAACTTTGGAATTGACTAGGCAAGTCAGTACAGTATGGTAGAGAGAAGAACTAACCCAAACAGCTGTTCTTGACTCCGGGTTCGCTATAAAGGTGCGATCCTTACTTGTGTAGGTTTAATTGCCAGACACTCCCACCCCCAAATCATTTTTTGGTTTGCAAATCTGATAGGGTCCAGAATGATACATAGTATTAGAATTGTGTGAGAAAGAAGGTTAAATGTGAAAACATAAAAGGACTCAGGCATTTGCATTGTGTGTTCCATTGTGACTGACCTGAATATTGAAGAAATGAGGTTCAAAAGCAGTTTTAAGGACTATGCATTTTTGCAAATTTTGCAAAATTTTGATGGTGTTTGTTTTGTTATGCTTGGTCCTTTAGAGCACTTGCCAACTTGGAATTCCCACTAGCGGTGTAGGTGTACAATGTTTAACATTTGTATACTACTTTACTAAGCATGCAGAGCCCATGCCATCTGGCGTATTTTCTTTTTTAGCTGAGAAAATTGCGTCTAGAGCACTGGCTCTCAAACTTTTAGTATGCCTCAGAGATGGAGGTGAGGGGGAGGCTGAGACAGGGATTGTTAAAAAAAACACAAATTGCTAGGTCCTTTCTCTCCAACTCCAGTTATATTTTTAACAAGTTACCAAGTAGGGTCATGCTGTTAATTGATCTGAGACCACACTTTGAGAATACTGGTCTAAAGGTGAAATGACTTGTCCAGGCTCATCTGGAGCTCAGGTGATCTCCAAACTCTCTGTGCCCCCCCACCCCCCAACACAACATAAACTGTGTTAGTGGTGTTTGCATTCTCAGCTCTTGTAAATTTTCATTTTTATTCCCACCTTCACAGAGAAATAATATTTAAACCATATTTTAGTTTGGCTCAAATTCTCTTTGGCTGTTTATTGAGGATCATAACATTTGTTAGAACAAGTTTTCTCTAACAGAATACATTGCCCTAAATTAGCACTTTCTTTAAATTTCAGTAGAGCAGATATAAACATAAGAGCATAAATATAAGTGATTTTATGGTGCTCTGTTCTAGTGGACATGTTGAAGACACCTTAAGTTTCTAAGTTATTTTTGCATATTATGATTCACAATTTGCCTTCTTGCAGTTGGTCATAATCCAGGGAGAATGCAGTCAAATGTTTCATTAAACAAGCGATAGCATTTGGAAATGGAGATTAGGAAATTCAGTTCTCTGACCTGGAAGGGGGCAGGGGGATAGACTTAGGAAAACTGATAGAAAGTTTTAAGAGGGAAGAGACCTACATGCTATTGTTGATGAGAATAGCAGCCAGTATTTAATCTCTGTGTGCTTAAATCTGTGCCTGTGGGTTTTGTATTAACTGATATTTGACACCTTGCCTCCTGTAGGTCCCAATTTAAGAGAGACAGTTGTGATGTAGGGGAAGAAACATGAGATTTTAGTCAGAACATGTTCTGTTCCCAGCTTTGTGCCCATGAGCAGATTGCCTAACCTCGTTGAAGCCCCGTTTCCTTAATTGTAAAAGAGGGACAGTTCTTATCAACCTTGTTAAATGACATTGCATAAAAACTGTCCAATTTGTTAAATATGAAACACATAATGGCTATACTTTTTATTTAGCACAGTGCCTAGAACACTTCAGCTCAAGTTTTTAGGAAAATATATTTAGCCAATACTTATTTATGTAGGGCTTACTATGTGCCAGGTCTGTGTGACTTATGAGAGTTAAATTAGCTAATTATGTATAAGACCTCCAAAGTAGGTAGTATTCTCATCCTTAGTTTACAGATGAAGAAACCTAGACACTAAGAGTCTGATAACTTCCCAAAGTCAAATAGCTAATAAGTGGGATAGCTGGGATCTGAACCCAGGTACTCTGGCTCTAGAATTTGCACTTTTAACAACTCACTGTGCCACTTCTCAAGTGTTAAATAAATATGAATGGTCCATCATGGAGGAACTTAATCTGTAGCTTAAACCTGGTCAAACAGAGAGGGAGGGATAGGTAGCTGATCGTTGCAGCTTAACAGTCGAACAGGGAGAATCAGACAGAGTATTAGGAAGTAGTAACTTTAAGCCAAAAATTGGGGGGGTAGGGGAACTTTAACTTTGAGTCCTAATTACTTTGGGTGTTCTGGTATCATTTCTGTAAGGAGAAAATGTTATTTCTCCACCATCAAGTTGTAAAGTAAGACTCAAACTGCATTGCTCCTAAAACTTAGTTACAAGTTTGGCTACATCTTTGACATACCTATTTTAACTTATTTACTTGTATATCCCTTTCTTTTTAGGTATCTTTTTCTGAGTGAAAGCTGCTTGATCATATGTTTCAAGGATGGCTCTCCCTATCATCGTAAAATGGGGTGGACAGGAATATTCAGTGACCACACTTTCAGAAGATGATACCGTGCTAGATCTCAAACAGTTTCTTAAGACCCTTACAGGAGTGCTACCAGAACGCCAAAAGTTACTTGGACTCAAAGTTAAAGGTAATTCTCTCCTCACTTTAAACTTTTTTGCATTGATATATTTATGAATTTTTATATTAGCTCTGTTCTCTTTAATAAGTCTTTCCCCTTGGAGATTTCTTTGTTAGGGATATTCCTAAAATTGTTTTATGATGGAAATAACAATATTAAAAATTACTTGAAAATACCACCACTATTAAGATTACTTTTGATTCCTCTGACAGTTGATGTTTGCTTGTGAAATCTTTGGCACAGAAGTCTCAGGTAAAACTGTAATTTCTGACATCTGTGTTCTAGCACAGCTTTTTCGTTACAGCTTGGTTCTTGTACTCTCCCTAAATTGTCTTTTCTGCTTCAAAAATAATGATGATTTAAAATGATGATTTAAAAATTATAGGCAGTGTTCATATCCAGTCTGAAAAGGACTTTCATGGTGTTTGTGTTTGTTGTATCATTGAAGGGTGAATTTTGGGTAGCAATAAATCTCTAGTTTTATCTTAGGTGCTCAGTGTTCAAGACTTTCTGGAAAACATCTTCATCTTGAACGACAAAATAAAACATGAATTTATTTTGTTTAGCTCGTTGAATAAAGGTGTTCCTCTGAGATGGAGTTGGGGAAAAAACAAATCTTGTATTAGTTGCTACTTCTTAGTTTGTTAGACGTTGCTAATTCAGCAGTGACAGTTTGTTAATTTAAGGAAAAAAAAACTGCTGTGGAATCTGTACCAAAACTTTTAATGTTAGGGTTTTGTATAATGGGATAGTGAAACCAGCACCTGAACTTTAGTGAGAAAACAGTCATTTGCTTGTATTGTAGGCAAACCTGCAGAAAATGATGTTAAGCTTGGAGCTCTCAAACTGAAACCAAATACTAAAATCATGATGATGGGAACTCGTGAGGAGAGCTTGGTAAATGTTTACTTTTGTTACCATTTGTCCCTTTGAAGATATGATTTATATTACACTGTTGTATCATGGTTTTAATTGTGGTAAAATTGTCAGTTTGGCAGTCAGTGAAAAAAACTTCACAATGTATGTGGTATTAACTCAGCGGAAAACAAATACTAGGGAACTTGTTAGTATATAGTTAGCCATAAGCATAGTAGTAGTGCAAATGGTCAAAATAACATGGTAAATCTGCCCAGTGAATGTGTATAATGAATTATAAAATGTGGAAATTTTCTCACAGTGTGTGTTTGAAAGATTCTTGACCTCAGACTGTATCTTTTATTTGCTTTTTATGTTATGCATGTATTTGTTCTGTTAAAGACAATTTGGTAAAACAAAACTGTTTTTCATCTTAATAGGAAGATGTCTTAGGTCCACCTCCTGACAATGATGATGTTGTCAACGACTTTGATATTGAAGATGAAGTAGTTGAAGTAGAAAATAGGTAAGTGCTTTATAGTATCAAAGGAAATGGGTTGTAATGTGAGAAAAAAGTGAATGTTTCACCTGATTTTATTTTTCTATTAGGGAAGAAAACCTACTGAAAATTTCTCGCAGAGTAAAAGAGTATAAAGTGGAAATTTTGAATCCTCCCAGGGAAGGGAAAAAGCTTTTGGTACTAGATGTTGATTATACGTTATTTGGTAAGTCAACTAAAACTGTGCTTTATTTTCTGTTACCCATAACAACTCTTTTTTTTCCTTTTGTTTATTTTTTCCTTCCAATATGAAATATTTGAAAGCTTTTCTTATTATTATAAAAAGTATATCATTCATTGTAGAAAATACTGAAGTCATCTGTAATCTCAAACCCCTAAAATAACTGTTCTTATATTTTAAGTGTATCTTCCAGGGTGTGTTTGTATGTATATCCTTTTTACTTTTGCTTAGTGATATTTTGAATATCTCAGTCATTTAATATTATTCATTATGAATTAAAGATACATATTTTTTGGTCACCACTACTCTAGTTTATGACTGTATCTTAATTTAACCATGTCATTCTCTATTGATTAACATTTCAATTTTTTGAGGATTATTTAAAAAGCATTTTTGATATTTTATCATTTCAAGTGATACAGTTTTTCATTTAATTATGTTCAGGGCAGATTCTTTTTTTTTTTAAAGATTTTATTTATTTATTTGAGAGAGAGAGAGAGCACAAGTGGTGTTGAGGGGCAGAGGGAGAAGCAGACTCCCCGCTGAGCAGGGAGTCCGATGTAGGTCTCGATCCCAGGACCCTGAGATGACTTGAGCCGGAGGCAGATGCTTAACTGACTGAGCCACCCAGGTGCCCCAGGGCAGATTCTTAAATTTAAAATTTCCCATGTCAGCAAAAAAGAAAGATGTTTATTTCATCCTCTAATATTGCTAAGAACTGACTAGTTAACTCCTGATATTAGCATGAATTTATTTACCTCTAATCCTAAACTTTAAGTACAGGTCATAAGTTAATGTGTACTTATTTTAAAATTTGATTATTAAGTTAGTTGGGCCTGTCATTCTGGTGAAATGTGATTATATCTGGGAGGTGAATGGCTAAAGTGAGTATAGGTGGCTCTAGTTTGTTTTTCATGTGACAAAATAACGTCTGTATTTTAAAGACTACATGAAAACTAAATTTACAGTTTACTATATAAGCCTGAATTCTGGGTATTGCTCTTCCCAAATTAAAAAAATCGATTAATTAAAATTGAATCGCAGTGATATCAAATTGTGTGCTTTCAAAGACATCTGTCAACCAGTATAATTCAGTCTTAGGTAGTTTGCATTTGAATGTTTATATTACATTTCATAATTTTCATTGATATCAGGTACTTATCCATGATAACAAACTAGTAATCATCTATGACTGATTTTCTTTTAGACCATAGGTCTTGTGCAGAGACTGGAGTAGAATTAATGCGACCATATCTTCATGAATTCCTAACATCTGCATATGAGGATTACGACATTGTTATTTGGTGTAAGCTATATTTTTTGTTTAGATTTCCATGGAAGTAATCTTGTTCTGTAAATTATTCTGCTTTATAAAATGTGACTTAAAATGACCTGTGGTTAAATATGATGCACTTTTCATTTGTTTTAGCTAATTTCTGATGAAACATGTTTGACTTTCTTGCATCACAATATAAACTTATATGTATATTTGCCAATACCACTGAAGTAGTTAAATACAGGAAGAGAGTAGGTTATGGTGTCAGAATAAAAATGATCTTATTTTCGGGGCGCCTGGGTGGCTCAGTTGGTTAAGCGACTGCCTTCGGCTCAGGTCATGGTCCTGGAGTCCTGGGATCGAGCCCCGCATTGGGCTCCCTGCTCGGCGGGGAGTCTGCTTCTCCCTCTGACCCTCCTCCCTCTCCTGCTTTCTGTCTCTCATTCTCTCTCTCTCAAATAAATAAATAAAATCTTTAAAAAAAAAAAATGATCTTATTTTCATAAGACCCCACCTTGATTAGGAATTTTTCTTTCTGATCTTCACTGTAGAGTCTTTGATGCTTCAGGATATTGTTGGTTTCTCCTTTTTTTATCACTCTAGTTTCAAAACATTTGGAGAAAGACGTATAAAAAAAATCACAGTGATGTTGTTCTTCAGAAATAAAGGAATATGAATTAAGGAAAATTAAACAGACTAAGGCAGTATTACTCAAATTGTGGTCTGTGGACCATTCCAGGAACTTACAGGTCTGTGATAAGATCATGAGTTTGCTCCAGAAAGTAAATTTACTACATTACTGAGCACACTGTTTAGTTCAATGGACATTTTGTTGTGGCAAGACTTTATTGAGAAGAGAAACTATTAATTTATATCTTACCTCCCCACAAACAGTTAAAGTTGCTTCTTGGCAAGCCATAGGCAGAAAAGAGCTATCCTGATTGTGAATTAAATAAAATCTCATCATGAAAAATGCTATGTTTAATTGTACTAAGTTTTTGCTGAGTGACCACAAAGGTGTTACTTCAATCTTTAAATTTCCTTTGTACTTTTCCTTTTAATCAGAGTATCTCCATTTTTCAGTATTAATACGAGTTCACAGCCATTTAGATTAAATACATAGTTTTCTGGTTTATAAGATACAGGGAGGAAAGCTTCCTGGGAACAAATTTTGTTCAACTGACACCTGAGATGACATTTGAGAAAAAAGTTTTTCCTCTAAATGTTATTAAAGTAGACTTAGAAATTTAGAGAATTTTTTACAATCATATATTTAAAATAAGTTATTTTTGTAAATTATGATATCTAATGGTAGTATGTTGAAATGGGCACTTCACTTTGGAGCTAAATCAACTAGAGTTTAATTCCGACTTTGTCCTTATTTTGTGATACTGGGCAGGTCAGTTAATATCTCTGAGCCTCAAGTGCCTCATCAGAAATGAAGATAAGTAAACCTGTATTACAGGGTAGTTATAAGAATAAAAGTATCAGTATAGCAACTAGTACCATGTCTGACATACAATAACTAATTAATTGGAAACCCTTTTTATTAGCTATGAATATTTTTGTTTTTCATCTGGGGATTGTAGACCTAAAATAGATACTGAATTTTAAAAAATTGTTTTTCCCAGTCTCATGATTGTTGTCATTGTAGATGTATCAGTCTCTAAGATTTTAGTTCAACTGACCAGTTTTGTGTGGAAGGTGATTTCTTTCAGTTGGTGTGTTTGTGTGCTAAAGACTTTTATTTTGAGAACTCAGGTACCTCTTTTGTCTTTAACAAATACATGCACATACACATACTGTAAAAATTAAACTCCTTTTCCCTTTTTAACCATTTTACTTGGTAACAGCTATGTAGTTTAGTCCAGTAACTTGGGACCAGAAAGGCATATAAAACTGAGGGTTGAATTTTAATATCAGTGATCTCAAAACTGGTTGGTGTCTGACAATGAGCAGATACATAACAGATAGAATTTATGAATTTAGTTGTGTCAGTTTCATTGTTAAAAGCTCCTAGACTCAGTGAGCACTAAGTTTCCTGAGCCTGGTAAAGTGTTGATTTTTATTGGACCTATTGATCTTTAACATCAACTTTTGGCACATAACATTAATCTGCTTATATTGACATATATGCCAGTGCATTGCATGGCAGTGGGAACATGGAAGTAAATTAGAGATCCAGGCACCCTATATTTAAATGTGGATTGTTGGAGAACAGTGTCAGGGCTGTTTTTAAACAGGAATTTAGGTCTTGATTTATAAATTTCCTAGATTCAAAATTCTTTTGAACATTGGTTACCTGCATCTTTTAGATAAAAGTTGTTAAAATTCTATTCTGCGCTGATGCACTAAAAGTAAGTTTATTTTTATAAATACTTAAAATTACCGTAAATATGTTAGGAATTATTATTTGTGATGCATTTGAGCTTTTAATCTTGCTTAGAAAACTTACTTATACAGAAGAAAAAATTTTTAAATGAAGTTCAAGCTTTTCATTTGTATCGTATTATCATTCTTCATATTTTAGCCGCAACAAATATGAAGTGGATTGAAGCTAAAATGAAAGTAAGTGTTAGACAATCCATTTAAGAATGTTTTGAAATTGAATTTGTCTTTTTAGAAGTTCCAAGTTAAATTAATTTCATTCTCATTGGAGGGCATTTAATAGATAAACAGTTGGCCATTATCAGGAATAGAGGTGTGCTTAAAGTCTGGTTAATGGTGGAATATATTGTGTAATTAAGGCTTTTTTAAGAAAAAGTACAGCAGAGCTTCACGTCCTTTTTTTCCCCCATTTTACAATAATGCTTTTTTTTTTTTCTCCTTTTGCTTTGGTGTGTAATAAAGAAGTGATGTTCTTCTGAAATATGTAATGGGATGTAATCTGTTTCTAGTTTCTTTTCTTTGGACTACCATTTGTTGGCTTAAACGAAACTAATAAACTTGGTAGTTGTTGAGCAAAGTGTGGTTGGTGGCCAGTAGGGTAGAAGGTGGCATTATGGGAAATGGTAGCTGGAATATTGAGAAAGCCTGGAATTTTTCATACTACTATATTTTAACCACATGAATATTTGTATTTATAGGAGCTGGGAGTGAGCACAAATGCAAATTATAAGATTACCTTCATGTTGGACAGTGCTGCTATGATAACAGTGCATACTCCAAGGAGAGGACTAATAGACGTAAGAAGTCATTTTACTTTTTAAAGTTTTAAATGTTTATTTTCTAGTATACTTTTTGTATTTATGTTGGTGGAATAAAGTACAGAAAGAGTTGAGAAGCACATTTGAGTGGATAATAAAGTATCAGTTGAGTTTGACATAGGAAGATGTATGTAAGGTTAATAGATTGGAATTTTAATGATAGAATTAAGGATCTTGAGCAAGACCGTCAAGAATGGTCATGGATAATTGTCCCATGATGATGGCAGCACAGTGTTGCTCAAAACAGAGTAGGTGAGAAAAAATACTGAATATCATCGAGGAAGATACGAGAAGCAAACCAAAACATACTCACCCTGCCCTATATAAAACTGATAAGTAAAAGCAGAAAGCATGATGCATGTACTTTGGTGTGATGCATATGTAACCCTGGGGAAGAGCAACAAGAACCACCAGAGAAAAGGGTTGGGCTGAAAAGATTAGGGTTCTTCACTTTGTTTACTCATTGAGTAACCAGTCCTATTATTGAACTCTTATTTGAAGGTGTTACGATAGTCACTGTTGGAGACATGGTCTATACCTTTGGGAAGCACACGAACTAATAAGAATTGGGGAGAACTTAGCAAACTAGGAAAGCATAGAGGAGACTATTGAAATTGTCAAAGTCATAAACAGAATCCTTTAAATGCATGGAGATTTATTCAATAAAGGAAATACTTCATACGTCAAGGGGAAAACATTACCTACTAAAGTCGTACATTTATAAAATCTAAACACTAAAAAAAAGTTGGGGAATGTTAAACATAGTCATGTTTATAATAGTGAAAAATTAGAGACAGAAAAATAAATCTGGTGGTTGCCAAAGAGGAGATAGGTGAGGGGATGGGTGAAAAAGATGAAGGGGATTAAGAAAGACAAATTTCCAGTTATGAAATAAGTAATGGAGATAAAAGTACAGAATAAGGAATATAGTCAATAATGTGATAACATATAGTGACAGATGGTGAGCACTGAGTAACGTATAGAATTGTCGAATCACTATATTGTACACTTGAAACTGATGTAACACTGTGTGATAATTATACTTCAAGAAAAAATGAATAAATCCTCAATATCTAATAGTAGGGAATTGGATATAAAAATTTTTGTTCATCCATAAAATGGAATGCATTTTTGATGTAACAAATATTTGATGTAACAATATTTAGTGATTTAAAAATTTTTCATGACACATCATTAAAGAATAATTTAGAGAACAGTATTTGCAGACTGTTAGAAATAGTTTTTAACCGTTATTTAGTTCAGGTTTCCCCTTAACAAAAGATCTATAAACTGTAAAGCTGCTGGTGTTTATAAAAAAGACTGGAGGAGGGGCACCTGGACTGCTCCAGCTTGGACTCTTGATTTTGGCTCAGGTTATGATCTCAGGGTCCTGGGCTCAAGCCCCACTTAGGGGCGTGGTAGGCATGGAGTTTGCTTGGGATTCTCTCTCTTCCTCTCCCTCTACCCCTCCCCCTGCTCCTGCACTCTATCTCTCTCTAAAATAAAATCTTTAAAAAAAAAAAAAAAAGACTGGAGGTAAATATATCCTTCGTAATGACTGGATTATAGTTAATTTAAAATTTTCCTGGGTGCTTTTTGTGTTTTCAGTTTTTTTTTCCTACAGTCAGCAGTATTATTTCTTTCTTTTTTTTTTTTTTTTAAGATTTTATTTATTTATTTGACAGAGAGAGAGAGAGAACAAGTAGGCAGAGAGGCAGGCAGAGGCAGAGGGAGAAGCAGGCTCCTGCCGAGCAGGGAGCCCGATGTGGGGCTCGATCCCAGGACCCTGGGACCATGACCTGAGCCGAAGGCAGCGGCTTAACCGACTGAGCCACCCAGGTGCCCCAGCAGTATTATTTCTTTAACTGAGAACAAAGTAATCCAAGTTTTGGCACTTGACATAATTAGAAAATGACAGCACTATTTAAGAGGATGTAGGATTTTAACCCTGGGTGTCATAAACTAAAGCTCTTGTCCTATTTCATGAAGCTTTTGTTAGCTAAGAAAATGAAGAATCTGGGGCTCCTGGGTGGCTCAGTTGTTAAGCGTCTGCCTTCAGCTCAGGTCATGATCTCAAGGTCCTGGGATGGAGCCCCGCATCAGGCTCCCTGCTCTGTGGGAAGCCTGCTTCTCCCTCTCCCACTCCCCCTGCTTGTATTCCCTCGCTCGCTCGCTCGCTCTCTGTCAAATAAATAAATAAATCTTAAAAAAAAAAAAAAATTAAGAATCTGGCTTACTGTGTCAGTCATATTTGTCTTGAAGTATTTGGTTGGTTTGTTTCAGTAGTAAACAAAAGAGTAAAAAACTAAGGCAAATAAAATTAAAATATTTTAAATAATAAAATAATTTCAATAATATTCTTTGCAGTAGCTAGGACACTAAGAAAAAAGGCTTTCTCTATATTAAAATAAGTTCTAGAAAGAAAAACAACCTTTTTAAATGACAACCTTTGTTACCATTTATTTACTACCATTTAATCTCCTATAATTATTATTATCATATAATTTCATATTACCGTAAAAGAGACTCCTGTCTTCAGCAAAAAGTACTTCTAAAAATTAATTTATTTAAAAAATTTTTCTGAATGTGTAAAATAAACTCATATGATTCAAAAATAAAAATAAAGTATGTAATGAAAAGTCTTCCTCCCTCTGGCCCTGTAGCCACTTAGTCCTCTCTTCCTACTGTTCTTGTGTGGTCTTACAGAGACTTTATGCAAGTACCAACAGATACGAATATGTAAGGAGTTATCTTTTTTGAAGGCTCATTTTAACAACTCAGAAATAAAAGTAAGAATTTACAAATAATAGTGATTTTGAAGTTAACCAGTTGCCCTAGAAATTGTGCACCTGTGCCACTGAATAAGACAATCAGTTTTCCTCTACAAAATGTTTAAATTCTGTATTAATAGAACCAGGCACTTTGTTCGTTATTAAGGTTTTCTAGTTTTGAAAACAGACCCCATGTGACACTCAAGCTCTAAGGGGCATGTATTAGCCCAGGAAGTCATGTGACTGCTCAGCAGACAGTTAAGCAATTACTTTAAATTCTTACATTTTATTTTTTTAATTTTATTTATTTATTTTTTAAAGATTTTATTTATTTATTTGACAGAGAGACAGCGAGAGAGGGAACACAAGCAGGGGGAGTGGGAGAGGGAGAAGCAGGCTTCCCACGGAGCAGGGAGCCCGATGCGGGGCTCCATCCCAGGACCCAGGGATCATGACCTGAGCCGAAGGCAGACGCTTAACGACTGAGCCACCCAGGCACCCCTAAATTCTTACATTTTAAATAATTACTCCTCCTTTAACCCCAAATCTTCATGTTAAAATTATGGAAAGTCTTACAGTAGGTTTAGGTAGGTAGACATGAGCAGACCTTTCAGAAGTTAACATCGCGAGATCCGTTGTGCTTTAAAGTGTGTTGCATCTCAGCTGTGGTCTGTTCACACGGCCAGCCGTCACTGTCCTACAGGAGGAAAGGAGTGCTCTGACATAGTTTGGGCATTTTGAGGTATCTCTGCTTTTAAGAAAGGATGAACTGTTGATAAAATTGGGAGTTAAATCTAAACTTTTGTTCTAAGGTAAAGCCTCTTGGTGTTATATGGGGAAAGTTTTCGGAGTTTTACAGCAAAAAAAACACCATAATGTTTGATGACATTGGAAGAAATTTTCTAATGAACCCACAGAATGGACTAAAGGTAAGACATAATTTTATGCTTATGTAATCTGAAATTTGTGGTAGAACTTGAGCACTGTTGAATTTCATAAATTTTCGGAAGTATTCTGGTCACAGGCAAGAAAGCTTACATATCTAGAAAAATTCATATAGTTGAACATTTAGAAATTTAGAAATGAATTTAGAAAAATTCATATAATTGAACATTCTCTCTCCCACATTGATACCTTCTTGGGTTGCCAGCTCATCCAGGTATTTTCTGTTTAGTTAGCTCTGTGGAACACCATGGGCTTACTCACATTGACTTTCAGCATCACAAGTGAAAGCAACAGACATTTTATTAGGGATACAAATCTTAGGATTTCTGATGTTCTGGTTAGCTGGAAAGCTGGCAGTAACGGTTTATTTTTTCCTTTTTAAACCAAAACAGGTTTTTGAAAATTCATACAGGGCAACTAGAGATCTTAAGAGTTATAAAATGCCACAGCTAGGAATCTCAGTCACCTTGTCTACCTTCTTAACTTTATATAAACAATCTGAGGATCAGAAAATTTGTAACTTGCCCAAAATCATGTATGTGACTGGTTAATGACAGAATCTGAGTTAGAATCTAAGTGACTTGATTCCTAGGCCAGTGGTGATCTTAGCATGAAGTCATATGCAATCTTGTATAGGTATTATAGTAACATTTAATCCTGGTAGCATTGTAAATTGGTAAGATAAACATCTAAAACTTTACATTTCTGGATGTGGTCTTTAGTGTATGAGGAAAGGTTAGAGACAGAATGCTGATCTTGATAGTGAATTGCCACAATTATAAAAGCTGTTGACTTGGAAGAAAAGTACTTGAGGTGAATTGGTAGTTATGTTCCTCTCTAAAATGGTTTCTGTTTGAGGCTTTGGGAGAAATGTTTTTCTTGTGTGTAGTTTGCCAGGTGTGAGGTACAGGAATAAATTCTTGAGAAAAGATTCAATTGCTCTAAACCAAATTCTCTATGAAACTAATGGTTAATACCTGTTCAGGAAAAGAGGTGAAGTCATGATCTTCAAGGATGATTTTTGAGGAAAGCTTTAACTTAAAAAAAAAAAAAATACGATCATTAGTTTCATATGTGTTTAGAAGAAACTTTATTTTCCTAGCCCACATTTGGGCTCTACTTATCTTTGGATGCAGAGATGATATAAATTTCTAGTTCTTCATATTACTTTAGAGCAGGATCTTTTTTTTTTTAAACTAGGCATTCTGTAGAATCACTGAAGGAATTTCTAAAAATACCTGTCTACAATCCCCCCAAATTTTAATTCAAGAGAGGTATATTTAAACATTCCACTGGAAATCTTTCATATGTCTCCTTTTGAAACCTCTTTTAAGAAGGTAGTTATTAATGATTTACCCACAGTGACATAGAAGCAGTTTTGAAATTGAGAACTATTCTTCCTGTGTTTTGTTGTCATGGTTTCATAATGTTCTTGATAGAAGTCTCAAAAAAGATTTCACAGAGATCTTAAAGATGACTGCTTATTTTTAGAACAGTAAACTTCTAATAATATAAGCTTGCTAATCTTAAGGTTTGACATAGAATATAGAAGACATTGTGAATTATGAATACAGTACTGAACTAAAAAAACTTTAGTTTTGGTCATGGATAAATCGATACTCTGAAAATTTCATTTTTATTTATACAAGGAAATGATGATATAAGAGAATGCAGATAATCTAGACCATCTTAAGTTCCTAAAAAGGTTTCTTTGATATGAGACGACAGTGGTCATATATATTCTGCCCTGCTAGTGAGATCGTTTTTAAAGAATGATACAATAAGAAGTGATTATGCTAGAACAAGTGAAGGTAGACTTCAAGTGAAGGTAGAAGGTAAGTGAATAGTAGACTTTTTTCCACTTAACTAGCTTAACTTTTAGATCCAGAGTCATCGGAGTATTTTAGTTTTGCAATTTAATAGTGCTTACAACCAACTGTTAAGAAAGTAACAGTAACTTAGCAGGGCCTTGGTAAACTAGGAATCACATTGTACATTGTATATTAATAATTTAAAAGTTAACATGTCTTTACAATTTTTATTTGAATGAAGGAATACTTTGAAACATTACAGTATTGCCCAAGATTATGCAGAAACTCATTTCACTACATCACAATATCATGCCTCTTTACTTCCAGCCCCAGGGCTTAAGCAGGGTCTGTTTCTTCGAGAGAATCTTCTCTTACCTCCCACATTCATTGCTGCTGCTGTGATACAGCACTGCCCACTCTACCTGTTTGGAGGCAAGATCTCCTACAAGTGCTTTGCTTCTGCGCAGACTCACTTTCGTGCCCTTAAAGTTGTGGGAGCCTGGCTGGCTGACAGCTGTGGAGGTCCCTGGCACCAAGCTGTTCTGATGCTAGTAGAACAAATGGAAAAATGGTGGTGTGTTTTTCCAATAACAGAAACTATTTAAAACCTTTCCTCTTCTTAATAGGATATGGATTTCTTTGGGTTCATTGTTCTCAACCAGTGACAGAATTAAATGTCATCTGTTTTTCAGTGTTACTATGTAAAATTAATAACTAATGAGCAGTTTGCATTTTCTCTAAATCAAAGTAAGGATATGTTAATACTTTACTAAGGATTATTTCTTCAGTCCTTATATGTGTGTTTTAGGCGTATGATTTAAAAAAACAATTTTTATAAAATGAAAAAAATCCAAATATAAATAGAACTATATAGGAATTATATAAGGAACTCCTACATATGCATCATTCAGTTTAAACAACTTATTAATTCATAGATGATTATTTTTACTTTGTATGTACCTGCTTCCCTCTCTGTAATATTTTGAAGCAAATCCCAGAATATCATTTCATCTGGAATTAATTAAAAACTTTTGGAAGGCTGTCTTGAGTTTTATAAAGATATTTGAGCTGGTGTCTGAAAAAGCAAAACTCCTTATTTGAACTGTGACATAAAGAAAAGTGCTTAATATTTATAATTTAACGAATCATTATAAAGATAACACGTGTAATTACCACCCAAGTCAAGGTATTAATATCCCTTACTAATTATGATTCTCTACTCTGTCTGCCATCCTGACTTTTATGCTTTTGAAATAAATGCTTTTCATCATAAAATATATCAACCTTAAATATTTGGAAAATAGACTTCTTTTTATGGGAAAACTTGTATAATTAAAAAATATTTTTATGGAGACTTTAATGATAAAAATGCTTGTGATAAAATGTGAAAGGACATGTTTTATAAATGTATAATATCTTAGCTATATGAAATTTTATAGAAAAATAGTGAAATGAAGATCATCATTGTTAAAATTTATCTCACTCCCCTGTTGGATCATGCTTGTATTTGGTTAACTTTTTATAAATTGGGTGGCATGAATTAAGTTACTTATTTAGTAAGAAGCGTCTAGATTGATAGAAGAGGAAAAAAATCTAGCAGTTTTGCAAAGTAAGAAGCCATGTAGGGCTCAAGGGCTGGAAGAAAGTTAGTGTTGTCAGGTTCAGACTGAAAAATAACATAAGGTACATGAGGTAGAAGGGCTCTTGGCACTGTAAACGTTATACACGGACTGTCAGTTTATTTCACTGAGATAGTGCAAAAGTCATTTTTAGGACTGACATCCTTAATAATATTTTCATCTCATTAACTGAATTTGAATGAGAGGATAGTATAGATTTGTGCTAGTTTCCTTATTGCAGTGTGAAGTGTTGGATGTTTGTTTTCTAACAGATAAGGCCTTTTATGAAAGCGCACCTAAATCGAGATAAAGACAAAGAACTTTTAAAATTAACTCAGTACCTCAAGGAGATAGCAAAATTAGATGACTTTTTGGACCTAAACCACAAATATTGGGAAAGGTAAGTGCTAATTGCTTATTCATTTCCTTTTCACAGTAGTGAATGAAAACATTGTCTGGTGACCCTGGTATACACATAATTCTGAACTTTTATTTAAGATGGGTGAATTCTGAAACTATTTTCTAATGCAGTGACATCTCCCCCAAAAGTATTCTTCCCTTTCATCTTAACCTCCACCTTGTTCATAAACCTGCATCTCTTAAGATCTTTAATACTTCTAGGAGAGAGGATTTGAGACTGGTACACATTTGTGTTGCTACTTATAAATTATTTTGTGACACTGGATAGGTCACTCTTTTATGAATCATATGGAAGGTAGTCCCTCTTCTCATACTATAAAATAAAGTCAGGATAAAGTAAAACACACTCAAAAGTTTCCTGTGAAAAATCACTCTACAAGTAACCTCTCTGTGTAGCAGAAAAATTAGAAAACTATAATCCAGTAGAGAAACAATTACTTAATGATTTTCCTTTCCAGAGAGAACCACCATTACCATCTTGATGTATGGTCTTCTAGTCTTTTTTCTAATCACAAACATAGGCACACATCTACATATAGCCTGCCTATGAACATCAAGATTCTGAAGCAGGGAAAACCTCTGGGGAAGTGGACAGGATTATAGTGTACTGCAAGTAATTTTTTAGAATTTGGTTTTTAGGAATCTGCTTGCATTAATACAGCAACAAAAGAAACTGTTTGTGTAATAACAACAGTTTGGCTTTTCGGATCACTCTGACATATAGCTTCTTAATAGATAATTCTCATAATCCTATAAGGAAGGTAATGCAGGCATTTTTATCCTCAGCTCCAAATTATTGATGATGTAACAAAGGCATGGAGTTAATAAATGCCACAAAGTGAACAAGTTTTGTACCATTAAAACGTGTCCAGGTCTTCTGATTTTAAGAGCTCTTTCCCCACCCCATACTACTGAGTATAGTAATTTGTAAATGTGAAAACCCACAATCGTTACTCAAGAAAAATAAGATCTTTCTTTTCTTTTCTTTTCTTTTCTTTCTTTCTTTCTTTCTTTCTTTCTTTCTTTCTTTCTTTCTTTCTTTTTCTTTCCTTCCTTCCTTCCTTCCTTCCTTCCTTCCTTCCTTCCTTCCTTCCTTCCTTCCTTCCTTTTTAAGATTTTATTTATTTATTTAACAGAGAGAGACACAGCGAGAGAGGAAACACAAGCAGGGGGAGTGGGAGAGGGAGAAGCAGGCTTCCCGCTGAGCAGGGAGCCCGATGTGGGGCTCGATCCCAGGACCCTGGGATCCTGACCTGAGCCGAAGGTAGACACTTAACGACTGAGCCACCCAGGCGCCCCGTGGAAAAATAAGATCTTTAAATGAGTTTGAGGTTCTTTTTGGAAATTACAGTGTTAATATACCACTTTCACATGAGGTAGTCAGGCAGTATGAAGGGAGAGAATGCAGTCTCCAGAGCCTTGTTTTGAATCTGAGCTCTGCCACTTTCTAGCCCGTGGAACTTGGGCCCTTAGCCTCTTTGTGCTTGTAAAATAGGAATAAGTTCTGAAAGAAAGGTCTGCATAGAGCTGTTGTGAGGATGAGTGAATTAATACCTGTACTTAAAACAGTGGTTGGCACATAAAACAATCAACAGATACTAGATTATTAACAATTATTACTCATCTGGAGAAGTTTTGTTATTAAAATGAACTGCTTCTTTTGGGAGGAGAGTTAGATTGTTATTATGAATTTATCATGATACAGCTTAGACATCTTTATTTTATTTCTTGCAGGTATCTGTCAAAGAAGCAAGGACAGTAGTTACAAGTTATATTGGCAGTTATTGAGGATACTTGAGATCACAAACTTCTTGCTTTTATGCTAGAAATCATTATGATAGTGCTGGACACTGCAGTGAATATCAGACTGCTTATACTTGGTCTTCCAGTTTTTTGTAAATTTAATTTTGTATTTTTTGAAGATCATAGCAATATGCTAAAAAAATCCTTTTTTCCCCTATATGAATATACTGTTACTCTTGAAAAATATTTTCTCCAGCATTGAGTACTGAGTTCCTCCCCCCCACACACACACAAAAATCGACAAAAATGTATACTCAACAATGTCGTTTTGTGGCTTTGGAAACAAGTTATGTCTTGTGTTTTTGTCTCATTGTGTTGTTGTCTGACTAAATCTAAGACCAAACCCATCTTGCAACTACTGCTTTTCCCTTTAAAACCAAAAAAAAAAAAAAAAAGTTTTTGCGTAAGGATCCTAGTTTGGTATGCTTAAAATCACCAAGAGTTTTTTTATTCCTTTGTCATAGACACAGTTTCTCTTCTTACTGTGCACTATTTACATCTCTAAATTTTGATCTGTCTCAGTTTGGTCTATATGTGTGTCCGTGTTTTTTGAGTAAAACTGGAAAACGTCAGCTGTGATACAAGTGTGTCTCATAGTATGAGAAATAGAAAACATAAGCCTGAAGAATAAAAACTAAGGAACAAAAGTTATTTCTTTTTGGTGGCTAAGTAGAAGCACTTCTGCCTAAAACCGTTGTCATGAAAGCAATTAAAGGCAATACATTTTTAAGGGGACGGCCCTAAAAAGCATGAACAAAAAGTTTTTGTTCTGTTCCAGCTATATCTTGTCTAAGTGCAAACACTGTGTCTCAGTGAAAATATTTAGCCATAAGATTAAAAAAAAATTATTTGCAATGCTTACGCCTGCAGATATGTAATGTGACCACTGTTTTGTGTTGACAGTATTGCTTTATACAGTTCTTGTATTTGAAAGGAATCTGATCCTTTCAAATAAACATGGTGTATATTGTTCTTACGGGACTATTTCAGTGGTGTAAATAATAAATACTTTTTCTTAAAACATTGGCTTTGCTCTCTACTGTTCCAAATATTTTGCCTCTTTGTTGAATCACAAAGTGAAACAAACAGTAGGCTGGGGCAAGGACCTCTTGAAAAAAACTAAACGTGTATGGTTTAAAAGTGTGAATATCACTCTTCATTCAGAATTGGTTTTAGCAGCTACTTAGATATGTTAAATTACTTAGTTCTAATAAGTACCATGTTTTCAGGAAGATAAGCTGTTTTCTTTGTGACAGGTTATTATAAAGATATACAGTGCAGAAGAGTTTGAGAACCCTTAAATAAGATGATTCAATTAAAAACATTTCTAAATTATGAGGCTAAATTTCAATATTTAAGGATGGAGTAGAATTTTTTGGAATATTCATTTCACTGGGGCATTTTCCCATTGTAAAAGGCAGTTTATCGTTCCAAGGTAGGCATGGAAAGGGCTTAATCTTAAAACTGAACACTTAGAACTGTTTAGTTCAGTAAAGAGCAGAACATTTTCTAAATCAATATAAAATACGAAAGTGAGCAAGCCTCAAAGCGAAGTAGGATTTTTTAAAAAACATTCTCTGCCATTAGGTGGTGCTCAAACCAAAGTTTATTAGCTGGTATGCAAAATTTAGTTCTGGGAGAACATTGTTACTGTCGGCTTACCGAGATCACATGTGTCAGCTTACTGAGATCACATGTGTTTTCTAATAGAGTATTGGCGTTTTTACTTTGTCTTCTGCATCTCGTAATTTATTGAGCAGATCGATCTACCTCTTTGTATGTGGCTCACACAACAGAACCAGGCTGATACACAGGCTGATGAAACAGCAAGTTAGTTCTATGGTTTATATGTTCCTAACTTTTAAGCAGTTGGTTCTTAGTAAAGTATATTTAATCTAAAAATTGCAGAACATCATTAAACCTTTGATTCAGAGGGCACTTGGAGATCTAGTAGCCCCTCAGGTCCTTTATGAAAATCATTTATTGGACTAATGATACCTATAGGGGTTACTCAGTTTTAAAAGCAAAGAATAGATACATGGGTCATTACAGTGAGTAACTGAAATGTTCTTTATTAAAGAAAGTAAAAATACTGTCAGTTTTGTGGAGGAGGTGGGGCTGTGTAGGGAGAGGGGGACTGGGAAAGAAGAATATGCAAAAAGAAAAAAAAGAAAAATGCAAATCACTTTGGTTATTGCTTGGTTTTTAAGTGACGGTTGCCAAGAATAGTAATAAAACATGTGAATAGTGAATAAACTGGGTGAAGGATTTTCTCATCCCAGGTAATCAACAGAACTCTCAAGGAAGAAATTGTCACAGTTTCCCCTAAAGTATTTTTTACATCAAAATTTATTCTTATTAACTGGAATAGCAGCCCAAGAGATGTCGCTAGAGATAAACACTTAGATATTTATGTAAGGATATACTAGTTTTTGGAATTGCTTTGGAGAAGCTATGTCGGTCTTGATGGGAATGCTAAGTATTTAGAGCTTAAAGAGAAATCCTTGAGGATTAGTTTGACAGATTTATCAAAGACTTACGAGAAATTAATGCATGATAAGAACTAGAACAGAAATATCAGACATCCTGTGGGTTTAAAAAAGGCTATTAATTACCTAATATCCATGAGTTTCCACGTAGAATGGAAAATCTTACAAAATCTCTGACACTGATGATTTTTTAAAAACTCTTTGGAAGTAAGCAAGCACTTCTTAAATGCTGGTATAAAGATACTTCCTGATATAAAGTATTACTTACTAAAACCTGATTTCCTTCTGAAAAGCTTTAAAAGTTCAACCTATCATTAATAAAACCATTTATAAACAGTGGGAACACAATCATTAAAAATATCAAAAACAAACAAAAAATATCCAAAACAGATTGCTTAAACATTAGTGATATTTCCATAAGTCAATATGGTTACAACAAATGAGTTACATTGTATGTGTGTAATTTGTGACAGTAAAGGCCAAACTGAGGACTTTTTAGGAACATATAGATTATTAAAATGAAATAAAGTTTTAATTGCATACAAATCCCTCTTAATCCTATTACCAACTCTTAATTCCCTGGAGCACTTCTGACTACTAATACTTCTTGTTATGTAATATGTAGGCACATTTCTAGTTTCCCAGGTGAGGCCTTAAGAAGAAAAGGCAAGTGATTTGTCAGAAAAACCTGTGGCTAGAATCCCTCCTTACTAACAGTGGGATCTTGTACAAGTCTCTCTAATTCTTTGAACTTTTGTTTCCTCCTCAAAAAAGTTCTAATGATGACACTTCTCTTTCCCATAGACTGTTGCAAAGGTCAAATGAGAATTCATGGGGAAGTACTTGGAAGCAGTTCAAGCTTATGTGAATCTTAGATGTTATTAGAAGTGGTTCAGAGGGTGTGGCTATGATTGAGCTACATCATTCTTGAAATTATAATTACCAAGAGTGTAGTAGTAAAAGGAAAACTTTGTGTAATTAAGTATATGTTTTACAAATACTACCATGGCTTTCTGAGAGTTCTAAACAAGGAAAGTAGAATGAGGACGACTTCTTATGGTCTACATGTTTTTGTAAGTATCCAGCTGCTGTTAGTAATTGCCTGGACTAGAAGACCTGCCAGCCCTGCTCCTAACCCCCCCAACGTAGGTATGAAACTTTAGGGGCATTGTAATTATAGCTTATATAGTGGAATATTGACATTATTTTAATTTTAATTTTGGAAACAGCTGTTCCCAGACAGAAGCTAGCTAATTTTGCCATGCATGTAAAAAATAATCATTCCAAAGCAATAAGAATTATTTATTTATTTATTTTTTAAGATTTTATTTATTTGACAGTGAGAGATAGTGAGAGAGGGAACATAAGCAGGGGGAGCGGGAGAGGGAGAAGCAGGCTTCCCACCGAGCAGGGAGCCCGATGTGGGGCTTGATCCCAGGACCCTGGGATCATGACCTGAGCTGAAGGCAGACGCTTAACGACTGAGCCACCCAGGCGCCCCCAGCAATAAGAATTTTTTAAGCATTTTTTTTTTCTTGTAAAGCTGTACTAAGGTAGATACTAGTTTTTTTCCTGACCGGCTTGGCAGAATGAACTGTCTGTGCAGGAACCAGGCAGTCCACATTTAATGGATATTTGTTAGTCCCACTATGTGTCTCAGGTGCCATTCTTCAGAGGTAAACATGAAAAGATTGTCTTCTCTCACAGAATTTGCGTTTGAGTAAAGAAAACGATAAAATATAATTTTCAGAGACTGAGAAGTGCTATACAAACATGATAGAAAGTGGAGTTGAAGGTTGGTGATTGGCAATAGCATGGGTAGGAGTGGGAAGACGTGAATGCTAAGAGGTATCACTCAGAATATTATGAAGAAGAGTAGTGTGGGTAGAGCTAGGAGCATGTGCAAGGCCTTAAGGCGTAGTGGGAGGTGAGTGGTGGCTGGTGGGAGAAGAGGATGGGAGAGGTAGGCAGAGCCCACGGGGATAGGATTTGGCAGGTCACTGTAAGTAACCTGGTGAATTCTAAGTGAAACAGGACACCAGTGGAGGGTTTTAAGTAGGGGAATGATAATTTTTAAATCGCCTTATTGAGATCAAATTTATACAACCTAAAATTCACCCATTTGAAGTATGCGATTCAGTGATTTTTAGTATATTTACAGAGTTGTGCAGCCATCACCATGATCTAATTTTAGAACCTTATTTGTTTTTAAAAAGATCATTCTGGTGTGTGGAGAATGGACTATAGAGGGGCAAAAGTAGAAAGGACAAGATCAGTTAGGTTACTGTTATCCAGGTGAGAGAGGTTTCCAAAGTGACCAAAGGAAAGTTTGCATTCCTTCACTCCTTCACTGCATCACTTCCTAACTACCTGTCAAGGCACCGTAGTGTGCTAGGTACTGGTTGAGGGGCTAGGTCTCCAGTGGTGAATGAGGCAGGAGTGATCCCTGCCCTGTGGATCATGCCCCTGTGGGACCGTGCATGGCAAACTCATCCCTCTGGGCTTCACCACCTGCTAAGGCATTTCATTTGAAGAATGGAGAACTCAGCATATCAAAAGTCTACATACAAAGAACCTTTCTTACTCCACCTATACCCACAGTGAAAAAGCCCTCTGGGACGTCAGCCAATCCTGCTGTCCAGAAGCTGGCCCCGTGGTGAAGTGTCCAGTATGAGCATGCATGGTGTGTGACAGTGTGGAGGGGAGCAGTCAGGCAGATCAAAGACCCCTTTCCATTTCTCTAGGGAGTGTTGCAGGGAGTATAGAATATCCTTCTACCTGTTTCGTAAATGGGCAGCAGAGAAAGTCATTTACGGGGTACTTTGCATTTGTACTCAACATAACCACTTCCTCCCCAGCATCTAATGGGGCTACAATGTGTGCTCTAACTCAGTGGCTGAGTTCTGCTGCCAGATGTTTTCTCAACTCTCAATCCCAGGAACCCTTCCTCCAGCACTCATGCAAACTGGTTCAAAGGTGCTGCGTTACAATCAGATCTTTCAGAGCATGCACTGCTGTAAAATTTTGGAAATTTTAGTCAAAGCATAAACAAAATAATAAGCTAAGCCTGAACGTCTACTAAGGGGAAAATAATGAATACATAAGCACTATTGACGATCTTACTGTTTTAAGAAGACATAATTAAAAAGAAAGAATATGGGACTGTGAATATTCTTTATTTCCCCCTAAGCATTTCTTTGCTCAAAGAAGAATGAGTGTGCATCATTGTTTTGGTGGATTTGGTGAATCTGTTGAATCTAACGACCTAATTGTTTAAAAGACCTTTCGTTTTCATTTTTAAGGACTATTTTTATTTATTTGAGAAGTACAGGTAATTTTTTAAAATTACATATAATCTCACCATCTTGGGGTGACCCAGGTAACATTGTGATGCACTTCTTTCCGGGCTTTTCTCTGTGTCCATGTGTACTGATGAAATATTTGTATAAGAATGGCTAGACATGTCTCAGTGGCTCTCTGTGCTTGAATTAGCCTGTGTGGTTATTTTTAGATCCATATAATTGAAAGCTTCTGGAAGCAGAGATCCTATTTCTATTACTTTTGTATTCTTTCCAGGTACATCGTAAGTTTCTGAACTTGGTAGGTCTGTGACAAGAGTTAAGCTAACAAATGTGTAAATAAACAAGCCATAAAATATGCTTACTTAGTGTCATTATTTTTAACATTTGCTTCTTTAAATGCTTCCAACTATAACAAGACTCATGACAGAATAGAATACATGTATTTATTTCCCTTTTCTTTTTGTATCCCTGCAAAAGAATCAATCCCTGTATTGATTTTTTCCATCTACCTAATAGGAGGACATAGTGAAATAAGGAAAATATTTTCATGAAAGCTTATTGTAAAGAAGAAATTTGTAAGTTCCAGTTACCGATAACAGTGAGGTTGGGTGGGTGAACTACTGTAGTCTTATGTCTCCATGATATACAAGAGATATTTTCATCAGTCTCTTAGATAACATTTTGCCTTTAGTATAGTAGTAAATTGATTCATGTGGTTTACAAATGCCTTCACCAGACAGTAATAGAAGTGCAGAGCAGCATATCTAATGCCGTAATTATTTCTCCTACATTGATATTCTCAGGGAATTCTGGGAGCTCAAGACTAGATGATTGTTCTGATTAATAGGACACGGAGAGGTATTATACTGAACAGCAAATTATTGAAAACAAAGTGCTACAGTTTGCCTGCTGCCATCCAGTTGACTGAGTAACTAAGCATCCGCACATCCAGCCCCACTGTGAGGTGCAGTGAACATGCATGGGAGCCCACGTGTTGAGGAAGTCCTTCCAGGGCCACTAAGCTCTAACACTTCTCAAACAGGGCCCAAGAAGGACCCATATTATTGCTGCTGCGTCAGGCAGCTTCAGCGTATGTGAAAAGATAGTTAGATCCTGTAGGTCAGGGCCGATCCTGTGGTTTGAGTGAGTGGAGGAACTCAGCTAAGTCGTGTTTTGGAGCACAGGTCGGGATCTCATGCAATCTTGAAAGCACCACTTGGGGACAGCAGGGCAGGGTATGGCCCCCATAAACATGGACTTGGGAGTTAACAGGTCTGGGTTGGACAGCCAGTCCCACAACTTCTGGGGGATCTAGGATTAGAAACTTAACTCCCTGTGTTTGGTTTCTATTGCTGCATAACAGAGCACCACAAGCTTAGTGACTTAAAACAGCAAGCATCGATTTCCATGGTTAGGAGTCTGTGCACAGTTGAGCTGGATCAGGGTCTCACAAGGCTGCATCAGGGTGTTGGCCAGGCTGGATTTCATGTGGAGGCTTGCCTGGGGGAGACTCTGCTTCCCAAGAATCTGCTCATTCAGGTTGTTGGCGGAATTCATTTCCTTGAGGCTATATGGCGGGATATATGACTGATGTCCCCCTACTTTTTAGTGGCTGTCAGCTGCCCTCAGGTTCTAGAGGCTTCCCATAATTCCTTCCCACATGAGCTTCTCCAGTATGGCGACTTAACCTCATCCAACCCTCAAGCAGAGTCTCTGACTCCAATCTGCCAGAACAGAGTTGTCTTATATAACGTGAAGTCATCCTGGGAGTGACATCCTATCACATTTCCCATATTCTGTTAGAATCAAGTGACAAATCCCTCCCATACTTAGAGGAGAGAATTATGCAAAGGTGTGAACACCAGGAGGTAGAATCATTGAGGGTTATTTTATGGTTTCTCTGCCACAGTCCCTGATCCTCATCTGTAAAGTTGGTATCAAAATACTTCACAAGGTGATTAGATTCAAAATAATTACACTTATGAAGTGTTTGCATGGTGCCTGGGACATAGCATTCAATAAATGTGATGATCATGGTCAGAATCATTGGTGATACCCAATGGATGTCCTGATAATTACTTTCAGTCTTCCTAAATCATGGCCCTTGTAAGAACTCCTTAGGGTATAGAGAATTTCAAGTTCTTGAGTCTTTCAAAGGATAGCATCAAACCAGTTATCTATGTGATATGGAGAGAAGGCAAAGAAAGACATTGATTATCTAAGGCAGGACATAATTCAAGAATAATATCTAACTTGACTTTGAAATAAATTTTAAGATTTATATTATTTCTCTGATTGCTTATGCTAAGAAGGAAGTCATAAAGGACTGCCTGTTTTGTAATTCTATATATATGAAATGTATAGAACAGGCAAAACCACAGAGACAGAAAGTCGACAGTGGTTGCCTAGGGCTGCCAGAGAGGAGAGGGATGCTGGATTGAAATCTGATGGCTAAGGAGTGCTGGGTTTCTTTTTGGAGTATTGAAAATATTCTAAAATCGATCGTGGTGATGGATGCACAGCTCTGTGAATATACCAAAAGCCATTGGGTTGTATGCTTTAAACGGTCAATTGTGTAATACGTGAATTATAGTCATTATAGCTATTTAAAAAACTTGGCATTCAAATTCTAGTAGCTAATGATGGCTTCAGTCTATAGAGTTAGAGTAAAGCCAAAAATGAGAGTTTGTTTGTATATATTTGAATAACTTCGCCATTATTTCAAAGTGAAAT